GTTAGAAATTATTGATGAGCTATTTTATGTTCTTTAAAAAAATAAAAAAACCCTAAGTCTTCAAAGTCTAATGTGTATTTTACATTTATCTACATTTTGCCGTACTGTACAGTACAGGGTAGAGCTCAGTTCCATGGGTATCAAATGGCCTGCTTCCTGTGCCTAACCCAGCATTCCAGATATATTTGCATTTCATGTGACCGTCAGTAAAGGACTGATGGGACTGGCTGCTGAAGACTCCATGCTACTCAACTTTACTTCCCTCTTCATGACTGAAGTAAAGGAGGCCAACTTGCATCCTAATTGGTCAGACGAGGCTAGTCTGCTGCAGCTCCCCGTCTGAAGCATTACTGAGCTGTCAGCCTTTTCACTCCAGAGTAGACGAGGCTTTAATCCACATCCACTAAACCTGCACCCATAGACCTGGACCTTCCTTAGGCCCCAAACATGGCCTTGGATGCTTCTAAGACATGAAGAGAAAAGCATCGTGCCCACGGTCCAGCTGCATGGTCATTTAACACAGGAAACCAGGGTGAGAGCAGGGCGTGGGGGGAAATTTTTCAAGAGAAACCAAATGTCCCTGGAGATCTGTTCCCAGAGTGAACTAACTCTTGGGGCTCCTAAGCAAGAAAACAGGCTGGGTTCTTGGGGATTTTCCTCTTGACTTGAGAGCAAAGATGGTGTGACTCTGGGCAAGTCATTGCACTCTCCTGCCCAATAGGAATTTTCTCCATGTTGGAATGTGGCCACCCAAGCATCTAATGATGTGCAGTCTGAATAGATATCGCAACTCAAGTGAAGACCAATGAATAGGGAGGTTGTATTACCAGCCCTCTAACTTTTTCCCTTGGGAGAGAGACCCACTGAGGGAGCAAATATGTGGCTGTCTGATCACAGGCTTTTCCTGGTGGGCCACAGCCCTTGGTCCTTCCTCAGCAGTGCCGAGGCTCCCAGGCTGCTTCTGCCCTCTCCGGTTCAGCTGAGCAATGCCTGTACCCTATGGTACTAGCTGTGGGCAATGCTACCCCCACTCCCTTCTCTTTTTTGTGGTCTCCTCCTTTGTGACTGCTACAGCATATGTTTTATTAAAAGGGAAA